TATTTCCCCCAAAATAAGACCGGGTCTTATATTAATTTTTGCTCCAAAAGACACATTAGGGCTTATTTTCCAATTAGGGCTTATATTCGGGGAAATACGGTACTAAATGCATCCATCTGGCTGACGATCTTAACCGTGGCTTATTTTTGGGGGGTGGGGCTTAATGTTTAGAGCTTCCTGAAAATAATCACGCTAGGGCTTATTTTCCGGTTGGGTCTTATTTTGGGGGAAATACGGTACCTATGTTTGCCACCTTGCATTACTTATAAAAGTAATAAAGGTGGGATTGAAAACCAAATAAATAAATACGTGCCCGAATTTCTCTTTCTGGCTTGACGTTAGAAACCCAGCCCCTGAAACCATTTTAATTTACTTGAACGGTGGTAAAATAAAATGAACGTCTCGAATGGAGGACCAAAAAAAAATAAATCTCCTTTTTGAAAGGAATGTTTTTATTTACTACAACCTAAGAAAGTACTTTTAAAAGAAAGCGCAACAACACATACAAAAGAAACACAGTAAAATACCAACTCTAATACCACCTTAGAAAATAAGTGTGTGTGTGTGTGTGTGTGTGTGTGTATAATTTGTTCTTAACCTAAGAAAGAGAAAACTTCACATTTCAAGTCATAACCTATCTCAGTAGTGTATCAATGAAATGGTTCAGAAATTGTTGTAAAGTCTGGTTTTCAGACTGGGGACTAATCAACATTTGATTAAGCCCCCCCTTCCCATCTTTTCACTGGCATCTTAGCCACAGTTCTATGGGGAAGTGCATTTTTTAAAAACGATGCCCCATGTTTGTTTGAGATCCAGTGTTCATAAAATCCACTAAAAGCTCCACGTTGGTGGTTGTTTTTAAGTGGATTTGAATAATTGGCACACCCTCTTTCCTGGGCATTACTTAAATATATATATATATCACAGCTTTATCTTCAATATGTTTGCTTTGTGCTTTGGGCATTGGTCAGCAGTACTTCATTGCTCAATTCAATCAGGGCCCAACTACATTTTTTTTTTATATCAAAAGATTGCCCAACGCCACTACCTCCCAAGCATTCGGTGGCAGGAAAAAAAAAAGTTGTAATTTTGTTTTTTTTTTGTCCCCTCTCCTTGAGAGAGCGCTGTTGTGTGCGAAGGCAGGCACTTGCGGTGTGCAGAAATAATGAAATATTTGAGCTGCGAGAGAACTAGAGTCCGGAACCTCGAAGTCACTAGGACTTACAATCCCCAGTTTAAGGCACGTTAACTCTTTGGGGACATACAAAAATCAGTAGTAAATCAGAGGTAGTGCTATCATTCAAACCACAGGAGATATTTCCAAGGAAGGCCATCTTTTTTTTTTTTTTTTTAAAAAAGATCATGACAGCCGTTGGTCACTTTCATAATATACTTTACAGGTTTTTTTTAAAAGTATTATTATTTATTTATTGCGGGAAGACACTTCTGGAAAATGTTAATAGGCTGGCTTAGGGTTTCAGGATCTGCTGGCGAAAGATTATCCTGAAAGACACAGGAATTTGTCCGCTGAAATAGGAATAGCAATCACAAATCGTATCTAAGGAATTATAGGTAGTCCTTGTGTTACAACTGCCCGTTTAGTTTCTATGAACCTATCTGGGTTTTTTGTTTACAAGCCAGATTTGAAGTGCCAATAGCCACGCCCCCAATGGTCACCTGACCACATATTTACAACCCTTTGTGGTATCCCGTGGTCAAGTGACTGCGTTCTACGACTGTTTTCCCCACTTTACTTCCCGTTTACTTCCAGTTTTCAGCAAAACTGGCCCACAGTGAACCCTGGATGGGCTTAACAGTTGCAGACTTTGCTGAACAATGGTGCAAAAAGGTTGTGAAAGGAGGTCGGTCATGGGATCGACTTGCCTTACGACCGTCGCATGGTGGGCAGGCTCCGTGATAGTCATAACTCAAGAACTACCTGTAACACGCAGTCAGCGCCTGAGCTGTAATCCTAGAAAACTGCCACTTAAGCAGTTCGGCAGACAATACACTTGTATTTACACACTTGCTTTTCACCTGAGCCTCTTTGTTGCAACAAGGTTTGGGGGCCACACTCCTGCTGAAGGTCCGGTGAAAACGGCTTCCACAGTCCTTTTAATTCCCCAACCATTGTGGCATTATTGTACACCCCACTGCAAGACAAGGCTTTAGGGAATACGAAGGGGATTAACCCACACTACAAGGTGTGTAAAAACGAGAGCTGGGATCCCCTGAGTGCAGGCATCATCACGATTTTATTTGGACCCACATCCGAATATCCCTGAAAAACATACAGACGCCCCCAAAACACCTAGAGAGATGGGTCCTCTGCAGCCGTGGGATATTTGGAAAAATGGCAGAAAGCAGAATAAATCAGAACTGGGTTAAGCAAACCACCATTACTTTGATCACAAAACGGATCCTAGCTTGCTTAAAACTACAGTTTAGAACGTCTGTGGGGATTCTCCATCATCCAGGTCATGGCTGTCCCAAAGGTGCTTTTTTTTCAAAAGGCCACTGGACTTTGTTTTTCCTGGAAGATGTTTCACTTCTCATTCAGGAAGCTTCTTCAGTTTAGAATGGAAGAAGCTTCTGGAATGAGAAGCGAAACATCTTCAAGGAAAAGAAAGAAAGTCCAGTGGCCTTTTGAAAAAGCACCGTTGGGAACGACTGGCTTATAATCCATGCCAACATAGCTGCTGTAATGCATCTCCTTTCAGGTCTATTTGATCTGGAAAGATGGACTTCGGATAAATATAAACTTAGGAGCCGATAATTGTATTTTATTGTTCAGAGAGAAACAGCCCTTTCATTCTTACATCAGTTTTGATGGAAGTTATGATGGAAGTTAAGAGAACCAGGGCTGGGGCATTCTGGGAGTTGAAGTCCGCCCCTCTTAAAGTTGCCAAGATTGACTAAACTAGAGAATCTGGATAAAACAACTGGCTGTTTTCACATGGATGAAAAGTTCCAGGACTTTTTTTTTTTATTCAACCAAGATCCAACCACCAAAGAAAGTCCAGGAGCCTTTTGAAAAAGCACCTTTGGGAAGGGAATGGCTAAATAAACCACAATTCTATGTTTGAATAATCCCTGAGCTTCAGGATAGGACAGGGCTGTAGACCAAATATCTACTATTTCCAATGTTAAGTAACCCTGCTAGGGGAAAAAAATGGACATGCAATAAAGCTCACATAATGTGGGGTTGTTGTTTTTTTTCATCCTAGTATCAACCTTTGAAATAAATGAAGGAAAAATGATATTTTTCCTAAGGCACAAAAGGACTTATGCACTGAGTGTGAAAATGAAAAAAAAAAATAAACATGACTCTCTGGAGAATGCAAAATAAAAATTATCCTTAACATTAGGGCATCCTTTTAAGCGGATCTGGTATTTAATGGGAGGTCTCTACAAGGAATCGTTTGGCTCTAGATTACACAGAAATGCCAGCCAATAATGCAGAGGTCTCAGTAATTTTCAAATTGCACTTTCCAGTTTCACTTCTTAAATAAAACCACACATTTGTAAGTATATCTATCTATCTACCTATATATTTATATATATATATATATATCTTTTAAAAAAATCTTTTGCATTATGGTTTAAATATCGAATATAGTCTTCAAAATATATCATTTTAAAAACTTTCCCCTACCTTCTTTAGGTGCACTTTTTAATATTTACTTGATATATTATTCAAGGCCCTACAAAATAGACAATTCTGGAGTGCAGGACTTAACTAAAAAATAACCTTCATAGCACAAACGCAGCGAAAAATAAAACGGCTAAAACAAAAAAGAAAAAAGAAAGAAGAAAGGAAAAAAAAGGGGGGGAAAAAAACCCAAACCTACAACGGAATATAAACTTGTAGGGAAGCAACGACTTTCAAAAAACCCGGCCGTGTTAGAAATGTAGGACTTCATATTATGTTTTTTTCTTCTTCTTTTTTCTTAAAAAATAAAAGGCCTACAAAAGTTAGTTAAAAACTTCATCTGTATAAAAGATTTCAGAGGTGATGCTGCGTTCGGGGAGAAATTTCACTTCCAGGTTTCTATCTTCAGTTTACTGACATCCAAGTAGGTTTTTTTGTTTTGTTTTGTTTTTCTTCATAAATACTAAAATGTTCCTTCAACTTCGACCCGGCCAGCAGTTCTCAGTAGGTTTGATACACATCGTGGATGGGAATTTGAAAGGTGGCAGCTGGAAAGGCTTGGGGGATGTACCCCGCGTACCCTCCATAAGCAGCGGCCGCGGCGGCCGCAGCTGCGTTCTTCTGTAGTGTGGCAATCGTGGTGGCAGCTGCGGGAGCCGCGAAAGGAACGTAGCTTCCGTAGATTCCCGCGGCTGGAATTCTCTGCATACTAGGTGCCATGGCGTACACGGGAGTTATCGGACGGCCCTGCCGAAGAGAGAATGGTCACAAAAGTTAATCCTGCCATCCTCTGTAAGGCATTAGATTTCCCCTACGGGCAGTGGTGGGATTTGGCAGAACTGGTAGCTAATTTTTTGTTCACATATTTGAATCCCACCACTGGATGGATGGATGGGTAGGTAGGTAGGTAGGTAGGTAGGTAGATAGATAGATAGATAGATAGATAGATAGATAGATAGATAGATAGATAGATAGATAGATAGATAGATAGATAGATAGATAGATAGATAGGATTCAGCCAGTTTGCACCAGTTCAGCAGAACCGGTAGCTAATTTTTTGTGGCCCACGCCCAGAATGGACTTCCAGAAGTGGCATCCACACAGAGAAACGGTTGTTCACATATTTGAATCCCACCACTGAATGGATAGATAGATAGATAGATAGATAGATAGATAGATAGATAGATGATAGATAGATAGATAGATAGATAGATAGATAGATAGATAGATAGATAGATAGGATTCAGCCAGTTTGCACCAGTTCAGCAGAACCGGTAGCTAATTTTTTGTGGCCCACGCCCAGAATGGACTTCCGGAAGTGGCATCCACACAGAGGACCGGTTGTTCACCTATTTGAATCCCACCACTGCCTACGGGCGTCAGAAAACTGAGGTGGTGGCCATAACCAAAGGGTGAAGGCGCCAATTGTGGTTCCTAGGTTCAAATATCTGCCCACTACGGGAAGACCTCCGCTTACAACAAGTTCATTTATTGACCGTTTGAAGTTACAACGGCCCTGAAAAAAGTGACTTAGGACCGTTTTTCACACTTACGACCGTTGCAGCATACCCAGGGTCACATGATCAAAATTCAGACACTTAGCAACTGACTCATATTTACGACTTTTGCTGCGTCCCAGGAAGTCAGTGGAACACAGCGGTGGTGATAAAATATGAACCAGTTGCCAAGCATCTGAAATTTGATCAAATGATCCTGGGGATGCTGCAAAGGTCGTAACTGTGAAACACGGTTGTAAGACACTTTTTTCAGGGCGGTTGTAACTTTGAATGGTCACTGAACTGTCGTAAGTCGAAGACCACCTCAACTTATTATCTGCAAGCAAAGAGGTCTTCTCCTCTTAATCCGAGCGAGCGTTCTCTTACTGGCAGGAACAGAGAGGGCTGGTGTTTCTATACCTTCTCGAACGTCTTTAGGTTAAAAAAAACACACACACACATACCTGAAAAGGAGGCGGGGTGGAAACCGCAGGTATTACGGCACCTGCCGCCACTGCGGCTGCCGCCGCGGCGCTTGCAGGATCCTGCTGGACGCTGATAGGGCTGATGATATGCTCCATTGCATGGATCTTCCCATCGTCAATCACCTTGGTGGCTGGCGCAGCTTGGAACATGGAATATTGGGTTCCGATGGTTGGAATTGCCACTGCAACGGATCACAACGGCGCACGATCGGGTTAGGCTGGATGTTAAAATTTCAGCTTTTCATCTAGCAGGTTAAAATGTCATTTGGATGTTTAGTGCAGAGGTCCCCAACCTTTTGGGCACCAGGGACCGGTTCCGTGGAGAGGTTTTTCCACGGACTGGAGGGTGTGTGGTTTTGTGTGCTGCCTGCATCCCGCGGATGGGGCTTTCCTGGTTTGTGTGGACCGGTTGCGGGCATGCCGCGGCCCGGTACTGGTCCACAAACCGGGGGTTGGGGACCCCTGGTTTAATGCACTGGGATCGAGCTTTTGTGATCAGATCAAGGTTCTTTTTGATTCAACGCAATGCTATAAACATTCGGGCCCCTCTCTTTGGTGAAAGCGGTAAATAATCTCCAAACGTATTTCCCCCAAAATAAGTCCGGGTCTGATATAAATTTTTGCTCCAAAAGGCTTATATTCAGGTGATGTCTTATTTTTTTCATGTACAACAATCTACTTTTATTCCAACAAATAATGTCAATAATATTATTTATTTACGATTAATGTAGTAATATTATTATTTTATAATTCAATACACCCGTCGTGTGTTGCAACAGACGTACTAAATGCGCCCGTCTGGCTGACGATCTTAACTGGGGCTTATTTTGGGGGGGGCTTAATATTACGAGTTTCTTGAAAAAAAAATCATGCTAGGGCTTATTTTCCAGTTGGGTCTTATTTTTGGGAAAATACGGTATGTGTATTTACTAATAATTATAATAATAGAATAATAATAATTCTATTATTCTATCAGGCTCAGAAAAGAGCACAGTAGGATAATGGAATTGGAAGGGACCTTGGAGGTCTTCTAGTCCAACCCCCTGCTTAAGCAAGAGACTATACCAGTGGCCCCCAACATTTTGGGCACCAAGGATCAAGAGGTTGTCCACGGACTGGAGGGTGCGTGGTTTTGTGTGCTGCCTGCATGGGGCTTCCCTTGTTTGTGGGCCAGTCCATGGACCGGGGGTTGGGGACCCCCTACCCTATATCATTTTAGACAAATGGCTGTCCAGTCTCTTCTTAAAAACCTCCACTGATTTAAGCACCCACAACTTCTGGAGGCAAGTTGTTCCACTGATTAATTGTTCCCACTGTCAGGAAATTCCTCCTTAGTTCTAGGTTGCTTCTCTCCTTGATTAGTTTCCATCCGTTGCTTCTTGTCCTGCCTTCAGGCGCTTTGGAGAATAGCTTGACTCCCTCTTCTTTGGGGCAGCCCCTGAGATATTGGAACACTGCTGTCATGTCACCCATGATAGCCTGTTCATGTTTTTTCACAGAAGGATATTGTGCAGCCGTAGGCCTCACTTCTGCATATTGGCAATTCAACCCACAAGGAAATTTCTCCACTTCTCCATGGTTGTCAGCAGGAAAGAGGAAAGGACCTCAGCAAAATTTATCATGGCACAAAAAATATTACAAACATCTGGAGGGAAGAAAGCTAATTAGAAAGTCAAAGGAAGCCAGGATGGCTTGTCCAATTTTTGAAATTATCCAAGATGGATATCAGAAATAAGACGTGACGGACCTTCAAAATATTAAACTGGCGGTGTCCAGTCTTGGCAACTTTAAGACTTGTGGACCTCTCAGATGTCCCCAGCCAGCTTGGTTGGGCACCTCTGCATTAAAGTGTTACTTAGAGATCTTGGATCTTGGAGCCTTATCTAATTGTTCCCATGAATAGCTGGCTGGGGAATTCTGGGAGTTGAAGGCAGGACAAGAAGCAACGGATGGAAACTAACCAAAGACAGAAGCAACCTAGAACTAAGGAGAAACTTCCTGACCGTTAGAACAATTAACCAGTGGAACAACCTGCCTCTAGAAGCGGTGAATGCTCCAACCCTGGAAGTTTTTAAGAAGACACTGGACAGCCCTTTGTCTGAAATGGTATAGAGTTTCCTGCCTGAGCAGGGGGTTGGACTAGATGACCTCCAAGGTCCCTTCCAACTCTGTTCTTCTAAATATTCTAAACATTTCTAAAAGTCCACAAGTTTTAAAGTTTTCCCAGTTTGAAGACCCATGCTCCAGAACTTGATTTTGCAGAATAAAGCTGCACCAGACTGGGAAGATTCCTGTATTATAGGCAGAACGTAATGAAGTATTTAGCTTGAACTCTGCATGGAGTGGGGGGTGTCTGGTTGTTCCTGCCTGGAATGTACCAGTCCAACCAGAACAAGAGGGTCCACCGGCTCAAGAAAAACAACCCAACTTTCTATCAATCCTTTCCCACCAACTTTTTCTCGCCCTGAGAATCAGACTGACCTGTTCCCGGTTTAATTGCAACTGGGTTGACCGCAGGCAATTCCAGATTGGGGACCAGCTCGTAGCCTTTTTCCTGCTGCTTTCCTTTCCCTTCATGGTATCTGCTATAGATGCCACGGCCGGCAGAGTAACCCCCCAGATATGATCCTCTTGGACCAGGCGCCCGGTTGCCTGCCGCACCTCGTCCTCTGCCTCTAACGCTGCCTGCTTGTAAGTGAAAAATAAAAATAAAAATGCCAAACAGGTAAGTTATGCTTGGAACCAGCCACAGCATTTGCCCAAAGGCTAGGATGTTAGACCAGAAAGAAGAAGAAAAAAAGCTCAGAAAATAGTTTGCCCAATTCCTGATACGGGTGCGCCACATCCAGCAATTGCAAAGATTTGGCATAGTCTTTAGACGATCATGTGATGGCCGTGGCCAGGGGGGCTTTTCATCAGGCTCGCCTATACGCCAGTTGCGCCCCTTTCTGGATCGGGACGCCCTACGCACGGTCACTCAAGCCCTCGTTATTTCCCGCCTGGACTATTGCAACGCTCTCTACATGGGGCTCCCCTTGAGGTGCTCCAGCTAGTTCAGAATGCAGCCACGCGGGGGATTTTGGGGGCCTCTAGATACTCCCATGTAACACCTCTCCTGCGTGAACTGCACTGGCTGCTGGTGGCCTTCCGGGTGCGCTTCAAGGTGTTAGTAACAACTTTTAAAGCGCTCCATGGCAATGGACCTAGGTATTTGCAAGACCGCCTCCTACCAAATATCTCCCTTCGACCAGTCCGCTCCCACAGAGAGGGCCTCCTTAGGGTGCCGTCGGCCAGTCAATGCCGGCTGGCGACCCCCAGGGGGAGAGCCTTCTCTGTTGCAGCTCCTGCCCTCTGGAATGACCTACCCCCCGACCTACGTACAACTACGGACCTGCATCTCTTCCGCCGAGCCTTGAAAACCCATCTATTCCATACGGCCGGCCTGGTGTAGTTTTGATTGGGCTTTGCTAGGGGTTTTATATGGGGTATTTTAAAGCAGGCTTTTTATTAAATATTTATTGTGATTTTTATTATTGGCTGTTCACCGCCCTGAGTCCCATAAGGGAGATAGGGCGGTATATAAATTTAAATAATAAATAAATAAATAAATGTTCACACTCAGCCACAATCGGGTGGGGTTTATTCACCTCTTTTTTGGGGGGGGGCGATCTTTTCTAATTCCATTTTCTGATTCCGTTTCTAATTCCAGGGGTGTGTGTCTCCGAACTTGGCAACTTTAAGACTTGTGGACTTCAACTCCCAGAAGTCCCCAACCAGCACGATTGGGCACGCCTGTGATTACCCTGTTACTTATAGATCTGGATCTGGAAGCCTTATCTAATGATGCTCGTGAAGAGCTGGCTGGGGAATTCTGGGAGTCCACATGTTTGAAAGTTGCCCAGTTTGAAGACCCCCCCCCTGCACTAGAACTTGATTTTGCAAAACAAAGCTCGCAACTCAACCGGGAGAGGCACAGGGGAGGGCACCAGCTCAACCTCAGCAACCTTAAGATGGTAGAAGCTGGTTGAGGGGCTGGAATCCACACACCTGAATGTTGCTGAGGTCAAGAAACACCGATCTAGTGCAAGAAACACTGGAAAAAGTGCAGAGAAGAGCAACAAAGAGGATTAGGGGACTGGAGGCTAAAAAACGTATGAAGAACGGTTGCAGGAATTGGGTAATGTCTAGTATATAGTGAAAAGAAAGACTAGGGGGATGTGATAGCAGTCTTCCAATATCTGAGCAGCGGCCACAAAAAAGGAGGAGTCAGCCTATTTTGCAAGGCACCTGAAGGCCAGACAAGGAATAACGGATGGAAACTGATCAAGGAGAGATTCAACCTAGAAATAAGGAGAAATTTCCTGACAGTGAGAACAATCAACCGGTGGAACAGTTTGCCTTCAGAGGTTGTGGATGCTCCAACACTGGAAGCTTTCAAGAAGAGACTGGACTGCCATCTGTCAGAAATGGTGTAGGGTCTCCTGCTTGGGTGGGGTGGGGGGTTGAGCTAGATGACCTACAAGGTCCCTTCCAACTCTGTTATTCTATTCTATTCTATTCTATTCTATTCTATTCTATTCTATTCTATTCTATTCTATTCTATTCTATTCTATTCTATTCTATTGCATTATTTCTTACTCTATCCTATCCTATCCTATCCTATATTCCATTCTATATTCCATTCTATATTCCATTCTATTCTATTCTATTCTATTCTATTCTATTCTATTCTATTCTATTCTATTCTATTCTATTCTTTCTTACTCTATTCTATTCTATTCTATTCTATTCTATTATTTCTTACTCTATTCTATTCTATTCTATTCTATTCTATTCTATTCTATTCTATTCTATTCTATTCTATTTGTTACTCTATTCTATTCTATTCTATTCTATATTCCATTCTGTATTCTATTCTATCGTATTCTATCATATTCTATTTCTTATTCTATTCTATATTCCATTCTATATTCCATCCTGTATTCTATTCTATCATATTCTATTTCTTATTCTATTCTATTTCTTATTCTATTCTATTCTATTCTATTCTATTCTATTCTATTCTATTCTATTCTATTCTATTCTATTCTATTCTATTCTATTCTATTCTGTTCTATTCTATTCTTCTGTTCTATTCTAATTTCTATTCTATTCTATTCTATTCTATATTCTAATATCTATTCTATTCTATTCTATTATATTCTATTCTATTCCATTCTATTCTCTAATTCTATTCTATTCTATTCCTCTAGAAAATTCAGAAGGAAGCCAAACATCGGAGCGGTTTGCTATGTTCAGAAGAAGTCTGTACAGGCAGGTTCTTTGTAATCCTCTCACATAAAGGTGTGTGGGAAAGACCTTGAGTCAAGAGAGGCCACATAGAAACCTCAGATAAGAGAAGGCAGAGTCCACAGCCGAAGCTCAAAAGGGACCCTCCCTAAAGTGCTCAGGCTGCAAAAGTGACGGCGGGAGGATTCTCTTTTCAGATTTACAAGATGATGTCCAGCCCAGCTTTACGATAAAGTAGAATTAGCCCACCTGGCCATCTTTGTTGTCCAGTCTACCTAGTATGGCCACATTTATCTTGCCAATTCACAAATGCAGGGGGTCCTCAATTTACAACAGTTTTTTTCGCGAGCGTTCAAACGGCACTGGAAAAAAAAAAGGTGACTGACGACTGTTTTTCACAGTTACCAACTTTGCAGTGTCTCCGTGATCACGTGACCCAAGTTCAGACGCCGGGCAACCAGTTCACATTTACGACGGTCACACAGCGTCCCCGGGGTCACGGGATCCCCTTTTGCGATCTTCTGACCAGCAAAGTCAATGGGGAGAAGCCAAGTTCACTTAACAACCGGGTTACACCTGGGGCAAGAAGAGGTCGTAAAAAGGTCGCAAAACTCAACCAATATCTCAGCTGGCAACATCAGTTGTTGGTCGTAAGTTGAGGACTACCTATATAATTCTCTCCCCCTCCTTAACTTCCTGAGAAATTAGAGAGGGTGTCTTTTGCCATCAATCTTAGCGCAGTTTTTCCTTGAGTCCCTCTCTTACAATCTAGCGGCCTGATTTTTTTAAAGACACGGAAATAAAAGCAATACTTGTTGTTTTTGTTAATTGCGAAGTCGTGTCCGACCCATCGCGACCCCATGGACAACGTTCCTCCAGGCCTTCCTGTCCTCTACCATCTTCTGGAGTCCATTTAAGTTCACGCCTACTGCTTCAGGGACTCCATCCAGCCACCTCATTCTCCGTCGTCCCCTTCTTCTCTTGCCCTCCATCTTTCCCAGCATTAGGCCCTTCTCCAGGGAGTCCTTCCTTCTCATTAGGTGGCCAAAGGACTTGAGTTTCAGCTTCAACATCTGGCCTTCTAAAGAGCAGTCGGGGTTGATCTCCTCTAGGACTGACCGGTTGGATCGCCTTGCAGTCCAAGGGACTCGCAGGAGTCTTCTCCAGCACCAGAGTTCAAAGGCCTCAATTCTTTGGTGCTCAGCCTTTCTGATGGTCCAACTTTCACAGCCATACATTGCAACTGGGAAAACCATGGCCTTGACTATACGTACTTTTGTTGGCAGGGTGATGTCTCTGCTTTTTAGTATGCTGTCTAGATTTGCCATAGCTTTCCTCCCCAGGAGCAAGTGTCTTTTAATTTCTTGGCTGCAGTCCCCATCTGCGGTGATCTTGGAGCCCAGGAAGATAAAATCTGTCACTACCTCCATTTCTTCCCCATCTATTTGCCAGGAACTGAGAGGGCCGGATGCCACGATCTTGGTTTTTTTAATGTCGAGTTTCAAGCCAACTTTTGCACTCTCCTTCTTCACCCGCATCAAGAGGCTCTTCACTTTCTGCCATTAGAGTGGTATCACCTGCATATCTTAGGTTGTTGATAAGCAATACTAGGCTTACCTAAAAGCTGGCAGACACATTGTAACATCCAATTTACAAGGAGTAGCAAAACTCAATCAGTTAGACGTTTTTCTGTTAGTAAGATCATCGGCGTAGGGGGAAAAAAGGAAACATTTGGTGCTTTCTCGTTGCTGTTATCAGTCAGAAAACAGATTCTCTCTCCCCCCCTCTTTTCATTAGGGTTTTTTTTTTATGAAAGAAGTGTTTTGCAAGATAAGGACAATCCAGATGAGAGGAAAATTGAAAGCAGAGTCAAACAAAAAAAAAAGGATCAGCAAATAAAAAAGAAAGGATGGGAAAAGAAGAACAAGAATAAAAAGAACAAAAAAAAGAGATAAAGAAGTGTTTTCCAATCTTGTTTACAGTCGTTACGTTTATATTTTAATTCTCCCTTATGGGATTATATCTTAACTGCCCCTCTATATTCTATTCTTCCCGATTCTCAAACTCACGCATTACAAGTTAATTTTTTTCCTCTTTTCAGCAAGAAATCCAGGCAAACCTAAAATGATGAGTGTATCTTAATATTATGGATAAAAGGGGGAAACAAAAATCTCTGCTCTATTGTCACCAAACTTTCACAACACAGTCCTCCAAGGGATTTGGGACCCACATCCTATTTTGTGCATTATTTCTCAGCTCAGCTCCTTTTATTGCTGTTAGACAGCAAGTGCGGTTTCCGGGTGCTATCAAGTTGTGTGTTGTCACCTAGCAACAGCTGCAATCGAAAAGGTGCACAACCTGTTTTGTCTCCTCCCGGCCAGCTTTTCTGACCTCAGGAA